TGTAACTGGCAAACATTTGTCAGTAAACTGTTCAGATGTCACATTAGAGAGGATTTGGAGCCTGTTTTTCAATTGACTTTTTTTTTTATTATCAAAGGAATATGGAGTAAACTGTTCAGATGTCACATTAGAGAGGATTTGGAGCCACATAGATGTATTTGCCTTTGGCCACTTTTTTGGCTGGGCTATGAAAGCCATGCTAGTGAGAAACTACGGAATTTGCTGGACAATCAGTGTTACATGGGAAATAACAGAAGTGAGTATCATAATTTAGAAAGACTGTGCAGTTTTTGGAGTGCAGTATCATAACATAGAGAAATGGTGAACATAGTGATGGTGGAACATAAAAAGATTTGTAGCCTAATGTTGAAAAAGGATCAGGTATCAGTAACTTAACACTAGGTTATAGGAAAGGTAAACTAATATTACCAGTGTATATATTGTAAAATTGAGAGAGAAAGATGAGTATATAACACTGAGGTGAAATTAAAAGATGAACAGCTTAACTAAGAGATGATTTTTGTAGATTGAGAAGGTACCTTTTGTGGCAAAATTTGGAAAGAATACTTATTAGGTATGGTAGTAGATATAACTAGAGAGTTCAAATAATGTACGTTTATGATATTTTATCATATATATATATTTTCCTGGTTGCAGGTTTTTTTTGCTCATTTGTTACCCAACTTTATTGAATGCTGGTGGGATGCTTTGATTCTGGATGTGTTGTTATGTAACGGTTTGGGGATCTGGTTTGGAATGTTCATCTGTAAGAAGCTAGAAATGAGAACCTACAACTGGGAAAGTATCAAGTGAGTTTAACACCAAAGCAGGTGTTATATGTATAACACTAGTACATCTTCACTGATCAAGTTGTTGTATGTATAACACTAGTACATCTTCACTGATACAGGTGTTGTATGTATAACAGTGGCGGATGTTCACTGATACAGATGTTGTATCTATAACAGTGGTGCATGTTCACTGATATATGTGTTGTATGTATAACAGTGGCGGATGTTCACTGATACAGGTGTTGTATGTATAACAGTGGTGCATGTTCACTGATACAGGTGTTGTATGTATAACAGTGGTGCATGTTCACTGATACAGGTGTTGTATGTATAACAGTGGCAGATGTTCACTGGTACAGGTGTTGTATGTATAACACTGTTACATGTTCACAGGTACAGGTGTTGTATGTATAAAAATGGTGCATGTTCACTGATACAGGTGGTGTATGTATAACAGTGGTGCATGTTCACTGATATAGGTGTTTTGTGTATAACACTGGTGCATGTTCACTGATACAGGTGTTGTGTGTATAACAGTGACACATGTTCACTGATACAGGTGGTGTATGTATAACAGTGGTGCATGTTCACTGATACAGGTGTTGTGTGTATAACAGTGACACATGTTCACTGATACAGGTGTTGTGTGTATAACAGTGATACATGTTCACTGATACAGGTGTTGTGTGTATAACAGTGATACATGTTCACTGATACAGGTGTTGTGTGTATAACAGTGATACATGTTCACTGATACAGGTGTTGTATGTATAACAGCAATACATGTTCACTGATATGTTACAGCATGTATTCTAGAACATACTAACCTCTTCTAACACTACAGCTATAACTTGAATGCCAGGGTTTCCTTCCTTTGTCCATCTAATCATTGGTCTGATTTTTTTCTTGCTTGCTCCAGTCTTTTATTCCCCACTTAAATACCTTTGGTGATACCTGTCTCGTAACACTCTCCACCTATATCAAGGCGCCCTCTATGCTGGTACTGTACATAAGCACCTCATTCAGATAATATTATCACTTTTTCTCGACAAAGTATTCACTAGTGGGCTTCTCTGCGATACAACTGTTGGAGATATTTTGAGTGTTCTTCATATTACCTAGTTATTTTTTGTTAAAATTTTCATTTTTTTTCCTTTTCGTTTGGCAAGCTGATATACAGCATGAATTACCGGATTATTGTTTCTGGCACTGAGGCAAATTAGGCCTCTTCTATCGCACTTCTGATATCTAGCTTCGCTCAACAGTCGTGTGTGGTGGGTCACTCTCATTTGAGGTTGGCTGTGACCTTATTCATAGAGAGACGGAGACATATGTTTGGTTCACCGGTGTTTCCCTTTTTCCAGTGGCTTTCTTTATTTTGTCGGCTTCTCGGGAGGCCTAATTGGGATCAGCCGCCTCCATCTCCTTTTCTTCAGTTGGTAAATTGAGCATGTGATGCTTTGGGTCTTTCTCCGGTTGCTTTTGAGTCTATGCCTTCCTTGATAGCAGTAAGGTCTGAGGATGAGTGCTTAGTTCTCCCTCCATCCCCTGATATTGCAGTTCATGAAGGGGGCTTACTGTTCAGTTACATGAACGAACATCTATGCTTTGTCTGCGATGTTTATTGGAACAAAATGCTTTAGCCTACTCCAGGTGGATGCATAATTAGACTCTCCAAGAATATACCTGATCCTGAAACTTTAGGGTTCCAGTCTGTGGTCAAACTGAATAGATCACACTATTCTAGGAATCATCTGACCATAACTACAGTGCTAAGATATTTATCATCCCTCCAACTTTTGTTGGAAGTCTCTCAGCAATCGCCATATGAATTTGATGATGAGTTAGGATCATTGTTAGCATCTAAGTTGGTTCGACTGTCAGCTTCTGAACTTTTTCTAGCCTCTTGGCTGGTATGTTGTCAGGATTTATGGGGTAGAGATGGTTGTTGGAGGGCGTTCATCTACTGGCTACTGCGCTCCGTGAGTTACATGAGGCACCCTTTCTCCAACCCTTGATTTTTGCAGGTGTTCCAGAGTCTTTGGAATCAAGGGTTGATGTTGCCCATCTTCTCGACTTTCCTCAGCTTCTACAGGGGATCATACTTTGATCTCGAGTGGTGGTTAGATCAGAACAATGCTATGATAGGTGTTCCTCTTCCACCACCTTGTCCACCTTGGGGTACATATCTCCACAGTCAGGAATTCCAGGGCCTATGAATGGATGACAAGGCTTCCCTACACAATGTTTTAGAACTTCTTACTGTTTGTACTGATGTCTCAAGGTCTGGACTTATTAAGGGAAAATATCTTCATGCTTCATTTTGACAATTCCATGGTAGTGTCTTACACTTTCCATCAAGGGGGTACTCAGTCCAGGTCTCTCTGTTTTCAAAACTTGGATCTTCTTTATTGGGCCCACTCCCATCGTATCATCTTTCTAGCTTGCCATGTTCTGCGGGTGATGACTTTGGTGGCAGATCAGTTGTCTTGACCCATCCGGATTCTCCTGACAGAATGAATGTTGCATTGCGAGTTTTTCTGTTGGGATTTGCTCTTGGTTTGGGACACTGATGATCGATGCATTTGCCACTCAACTACTTGCATTTTGGTGTCTGGTACCTCACCCTTGGGCATTGGCAATAGATGCATTCAGTCAGGTCTGGATGGGGTTGCCCTTCTATGCTTTCCCACAGATTCATGTGTTACCCAAAGTACTTGCTATGATTTGTTCAACCCCTTATCAGTTTCTGCATCTGTGGTACTTTCAGGTGTGCCTATTTCTTCCAGTTTCTCTTTGGCCATCTCTGAGGCAGCAATGATCTGACATAATACACTCGGCCATCCTGAAGTTCAAGCTTCATGCATGGAGGTTATGTGGTCCTTCACACAGCATTGGGGTTTAACTTCTCAGGTTGCCATGTGTTTGTCTCAGTCTTTTCATAGTCCCATGATGGAATTTATCAACAGAAATAGCACACATATCGACAATGGTGTATTGCGAGGAGGTTGAACTCACTTCGTCCAGAAGTGCCAACCATAACTCATTTCTTGACCCGGCTCTTTGATAAGGGTTTTGCATCTTTCGCAACCTAGATAAAATATACTTTATCTAGGTTGCAACAGGCTCCGTAGAATAATGTTTCTTAAGACCACCTAGAAGCAGATCAAGTGGTATTACTGTACTATGCTGGACAGCTACTCGGGGACTATCATGAGTAAGGCATAAGGAGATTCTGCCCATTCCTGCTGATCATTGGATTGAATAAATCAGGGTCGGCTTGCTTTCAAAAATTTAGGTGACTTCGTTGACTTATTGCAATGAGCATTACCCCATATTCTACTAAGAGCCAGTGTTAGACAATGTGGATTGTGTCAGTCTCGAAAAAATGATAACATTATCTGAATGAGGTGCTTATATAGTACCCTCAATTTACCCTGAAGAAAAGGAGCCGGTGGCGGCTGATCCTAATTTGGTCTCCTTGGAAGTCGACAAAATAAAGAAAGCCACTGGAAAAAGCGAAACATCACTGAACCAAACATATGTGTCCATTTCACTATGAATAAGGTCACAGCCAGCCTCAAATGAGAGTGACCTACCCCACTCGACCGTTAAGTGAAGCTAGATATCAGAGGTGGGATAAAAGAGGCCTAATTTGCCTCAGTGCCAGAAACAATAATCCGGTAATTCGTGCTGTATATCAGCTTGCTAAACGAAAAGGGAAAAAAAAATTTTAAACAAAAAATAACTAGGTAATGTGAAGAACCCTCAAAGTATCTCCAACAGTTGTATCACAGAGAAGCCCACTAGTGAATGCTTCGTCGAGAAAAGTGATAATATCTGAATGAGGTGTTTATATACAGTACCAGGATAGAGAGCTCACTGACGTAGGTGGAGAGTATTACGAGACAGGTATCACTAAGGGCAATTAAGTGGAGTATAAAAGACTGGAGCAAGCAAGAAAAAATTATTGGAAATAGATTTTTGACTTAAGAAAATGTTAACTTTTATACTAAAGAATCGAGATATAACTCAGGCATGTTTCACTTCCAAGTTCAAGCTGCAAATATAGAGTTCTAAACCTTGACTTTCAGTAATCTAGGTGTCCTTGTGGTTTAGATACACTGATATATTCAAATTAAAAAACAAAACCTCAGAGTGTTGACTTAAAAAATATTAAAATATTTCAATAATCTAGGTGTCCTTGTGGGTTAGATACGCTGATATATTCAAATTAAAAAACAAAACCTCAGAGTGTTGACTTAAAAAAGATTAAAATATTTCGGTAATCTAGGTGTCCTTGTGGTTTAGATACACTGATATGTAAAATGTATTCAAATTAAAAACAAAACCTCAGAGTATTAACTGAAAAAAGATTAAAATATTTCAATAATGTAGGTGTCCATGTGGTTTAGATACAGTGATATGTAAAATATATTCAAATTAAAAAACAAAACCTCAGAGTGTTGACTGAAAAAGTATTAAAACATATCTCTTGAATAAAGATATACTCAATAGTTTCTTTTTATATTTACCACAGAGTAATAGACCAAATTTAATATATCTAAAATGTTGTAATTTTGATGTAACTATCTATTTAAACAATATATTCAAGAACTTAGATTACACTTTAGTAGTGTGTATTGTCAGGTTTTAGTTTAGGATAGTTTAGAATATATTACTCAAGCTTTTGTGATGTCTCTATGTTGAAATACTTAACAAATGTGAAATTTTTAACCTTATTTATTGAGTTTTAAGAATAATTTCGTATTATTTGTATTTTGACTCTTAATTCATTTTAAGATATTTTCATCACTTAAGAATAAATTATTTCCTTGTGCACATTTAGAAAATTTATTTTTCTATTTATGCTACAGTAGATTCAACCTTCATTTTCTGAATCATTCATAAACGAATTCTGAGTAAATATTTTTTTTTCCGTTACCAAGTGGTCTGTTTTCTTTGTTTCATTAGAGATATTCAAACAACAACAGGAAAAATTCGCCGTGCAGCTCTACAGTTCACCCCTGCCAGGTTAGTTTTTTTTAAGTTTTTAAATTAATTCAGTTTCATTTCTATTCTTTGTTCCTTTTTTGTACTTCTTATTTTTAACTTTTTCCCCCCCTCCCTGAAGAATTAATTATACCTGATACTCAGTTCAAGCTGAAATGACAAAAATTAAATTATTTCAGAGCTATGAGGTTGCTCTGTAAGTATTATGTGCATGTGAGAAAAATTTAGTTCACATATGGCATGGAAAAAGACAATTTTCCCTCTTCTTTGGTTTCTAGTCTACATAAGTTCATATTGCTTCTGTGTTTTTCAGTACTTTAATACTAGTTAAGTTTCTGTTTGTCTCATGTTTGCTGTGTGTACTTAAGATCCTCTATGTTGTTTTGATCTTTCCTGGTGCTTTAAACATTCTAGAAACTTGTTAAAACTATACCAAGAGATTGTTCCACAAGTTTAATGAATCGAGCGAAGAGACTAATTATTTGTGGACATTTACTGACCATAACATCAAGATAACAGTTTTCTTACAATATTTCATTTGAAGCTGTTAGAGAATGACAGTCAGTGAAAAGTAGATATCTATCATGTGCGGCTTCAAGACACATCCAGATTACTGAATTTAAATATTGACTGTTCTGTAGATTGAAAGGTAAAACCTGAAGATCATGTTCCAGTGTTATGTTTTGCTTAATTTGTTGTCGAGGGGGTTAGTACAATGGACCGATCCTGTATTGGAGAAAAAAATGTTGATTGTAATTCCAAATTTACTAGGTGTATGTACACAAAATGTGGGGAGCTTTTAGTAAAATGTGTATATCTGTTGTACACAAAAACTCAGATGTGTTATTAAAAGTATTTGTGCTCAAGTTTTGTCTGTGAATTGACAATGTCAGTTTGACTCAGACTCTGACAGGTTGGAGTAGAAGATGATGTTCATGTGAAGAATAAAAATACTTCTGTTCATCATACAGTTTGTATATTGTATAACGTCTATAACCTTTGAAAGTATATCTTCAGTTTTTTACTCTTCTTTAATACGTAATCAGTAAGTAATGAAGCGTTCGTAACTGTAACATCAAATACATAACACCATACCATGTTGAATGGCACTCTGTAAAGTGCACTTTGACCCCACCTGTACACAAATGGCTAGTACCATGTGGTTTGAGTAAGGAAGGTCAGATTTACTAAAGTATATATTCTGAGATTGCTGGAAATAGTTTTCCAACTAAGATTACGTTTCAGTAGACATGTTGAAGCTGTTATATAAACTTCTTGTTAATTGATTATGTTTAAAATTGAAACCTACTAAACTCTTATTTTAAGATTTTTAATCAGAGAAATTATAACCATTAATCACCAGAAAGTAAAGTACAGCAGCAGGAAAATTATGATCGGCAGATTTAACCCATCACTGTCACTCCGTGCGTTGATGAGAAACCACCTATGTTGATCCTACACGATATAGAATACATCATTTGGTTTTATCCAATCAAGAAAGGTGTTACTTTTTCTTCAACAGAATGGGAAGAACTTAAAGTGGATTCCAACCATTAGTGTAAACTTACAAAATAAAACACGGTTTTCTCCTAGGTAAATGGAATCGTGTTATGTGTGTTAGTAATACTACCTATATTTTACACGGGTGGTTATAGAAATTCGAATTTAATTTTCACTTTAATTTCCATAATCAGGCATGTATTGAACGTTTGTGTTTTCAACATTTTGAAATGGGATTTTCATGATATTTTGTATGAATACGTAATAATATTTATAATAGTTTCTGAAACAAAACTTTACACTGTGCTTATTCCAGAAATTATGAAGTTTGTCTTATTAGAAAACACTTTTGGGAATTATTAAGATTAGAAAGAAGAAAATTTTTTAAGATTTTATATTCATGTTATGGCTCCAAAATTTCCCTCAAGGAAACACTACTTATCTAGCAATTGGTTGTAAAGATGCAGTTGTAGAGTTGGTAATGTAGTCTGAGATTGGATTCGTTAAGGTGGTAATGTAAGACATACACAGAATTTCTTCAACTTCTTCTGATTATACAGTCGAATTGTAATGCCCATGATTTATGTATTTTCCAGAAGTAATTGTCTTCACAAATTGTACTTTCTTTACTGACCCCGTGTGAGTCTCCATTATAATTTTAAACATATCTTTCTTTAATGACCTCATGTGAGTCTCCATTATAATTTTAAACATATCTTTCTTTACTGACCCCATGCGAGTCTCCATTAGAATTTGAAACATATCTTTCTTT